GATGCTAAACCAGGATGGAATTAAGGGAGAGATTACAGTAAATTTAAGTACTCACTTGAAGTACATATGGACTAGATTTCTAGCCAATGGAGATCTATTCAATAGAAACAAATGATTCAGGCATCTCTGATGTAGGCATCTGGTGGCTGGTCATTCAGATTCCTATAGGGTCCGTCGACTACAATGGTTGTTAACCTGGAGCTGAATCCAGCCTCTTTTTATGAGGTAGCTTACTTATTTTCTAACAGATGACAGACAGAAACACATAGTTTTTTATCGACCTCACAATCCTACTTATCCACAATTCCATACATTTGTATGGAATATGAAGTTGACTGTAATTCACAGTAATCTAGTCCCACATGTTTTAATGTTTCCCTTGGTTTCAGTTCTGTACCAGCTCTGTCTTAGGGTCTGTACAAGGAGTCGCTTCAAATGCAGATATTTTTAAAGGGTTGTCGACTGTATATATGAAACAATTGAAATTGAAGCAAATATTAGCAAAAAATATAACCAGTTTTGATGTTTTACAATATAAGCTGGAATGTGTTCCGCTGTTGATTTTGGTGTATTGCTTATTAAATTAGGGATATTAGATAACTCTGCCTTTATTATAGGAAGGCCATAAAATGTGAAATACTGATTTCCCTTTTTTTTTTCACTTTCTGTGGGGGAGGTCTTTGAGGCTTTCTTTTTTTAATTACATCTATAAGGAAGACATTTTTAAGATTGCATGCAAGTGTGAAAAAAACATATTTGGGGAGTTGTAAGGAACAAGGTTTGTGGAAGATGCTTTCTGCTAACAGCAGTTGGTTGCCAGATGAAGCACTTTGTGTACAAGCTAGGAATTTGAAGTAATCTTTTCTTACTACAAGGTTAGCAGCTGTAGCAAGGGCTTGAGGACACTGGCTAAGGCAGAAGAAATTTGAGGAGTTGACAACTGAGAGCAAATTTCCAGACCCCTTGTGATTGCTTTGTTTTTCCACTTATTCTATGAAGTCTGTAATTCTAATTCTTCCTTGAAGCATTTAAAACAGCAGCTCTCAAGTTGTGATCTGAAGGCTGCTGGTTTTATATGAACGGCCATCTACAAAATTCAGTTAAACATTTAAAAACAGCCTTAGCAGATCTGTGGATTTAAAGCCAAGATGAGCTGTGTTCTGCATATAATGTTAGCATTATCCTGTTCAGGACTGACGTGGTGCCACAGGTTCTGTGGGATCTGTAACAATTCTGAGAATCAGCAGTGGCATGCTGATGTAAAACTACCTGATTTAATAGCCACAGGTTAATTCTCGAGGTGCATCCAGCTACAAAAGAGGATGACACATTTAAAAACTGGTTCAACTTGGTGTTTTCTGTTCCCAAAGGAAAGCAAGCAGTTTGTTTCAGCTTGTTTTTCTTTCTCTCAGATTGGATTTTGCCACTATTTAAATGATGAAAATACTGACATACTCTTGAAATTCATTTTCTTTCTCTTCATACAACATAACTGATGAAAACTTAAGGATTAGTTCCTAGCCTATAGCTAAAATTAAAGCATAAAAAATTAATACACCTATTTAATTATGAACATAGGGATTTGAAGACTAACTTAGTCCCAGCGGCTTAGTGAATTTGTGTTTTTCTTCTTTTTTTTTTTTTCCTGTGGGTCAAAAGCATTCAACTATCCAGTAAGATACTGGTTTGAATATCCAATATCCAGTATGATATTAGTTGAAGAAATCATGCTCAAATGTAATATACATAACAAGATATCTTTTGTTGCTTCGAAGGAAAGAACATTATGCATGAAGAACCAGTTTGCTTTTTGTGATTTATATGTGTTTTGTCAAAGCATTTTAAACATATTTTCCTCCTCATACGAGGATTAACTACTTTATTACATTTCAGTTGAATGGCTTATTGTAAAATCCTCATTTTATTTCTATATAATCAGTAAAAACATTACTTTGGTTTACATTGCTTCATAAAATTGCTCTATGTACTATATAAAAGATGCACATTGGTTTGGAAGAATCAATGTTTACATGAACTTGATAATAATACAAGATTTACAGTTTTCCTTGTGCATAGCTGTCTCTTCGAAGCCTTTATTTTCAAATGTTCATGCTGAGCTGAAATACTTTGCTGTTTTAATTATAAATTAAACAAATGTGTAATTCCAAGATACTAATTTGTTTCAATTTTACATTGTATTTTTAGTTAACTTAAATAATTTTCTTTTTCTTTTATTGTTGTGATCTGTTGTCTGTTTTGTCTGTTGCATGTCCAGGGTTCTAAGGTTAGTATTGCTGCTGTAAGTTTCAGTTTTTTGCATTTTCAAAAATAGCTTCTTTTTGATCATTTAATATTTTGGCTTTTTTTATTATTGTTATTATTTTCCTATATCATATAGTAGGATGTGAAAAGGAATATATTGAGTGTAATCATTAACTTTTCCTAACTTGATTCCCGTGAGTAACTTAATTCATTGTTAACTATGATGCTCACTGTTATGTACCAGACTGAATGTAGGCAGGCCTATAAGCTAATTTAATTTATAAATGTGGTTATCAGTAGAAAAAAAAAATCCTCTTTAGGCCCTGCACATATTGTGTGGGATACTTGTGATACTTGTTACTGCTCTTAAAGTATGCTGAATTGTCATGAAATGGTGATCAGTTCACTTCCAAAAATTTTTGAGCTACATCTGTCTAAAATATTGCTAAACCTGAAGGCAGCTTGATCAACAGTGGAACTTATTTTAAATGTTATTAGAATATCAATGTGCTATATTTAAGAGGTAAAACTGATGGTAAGTTTTGCTGTGGGAAAAAAAAAAGTGTCAGCCTTCTTTTTTTTCTTCCATCCAGCAAAATTTAGGGAGCTTCCTGAAAAAGAAAGGGTTGGTTGGGTTTCGTTTTTTTTCAATTTGAAGTTTGCAAAAATCTTGATAAAATATGCTAAAGCATTAACACAAAATGAATTTATTTTATAAATTGCAAAAAAAAAAAAAGCTGCAAAAAAAAGGCAGGAGATATTCTGAGGAGGTTTAAGACTACGGTTGATGTAATACAGTTGAAGCTTGAGAAAAATCAACAGCAGGCAGCCAATTGGCTGCTATCAAGCCTGATGTTATTTCAAGCATGAGTTTGAAGTTCGAGTTTCTATAACCATCTATGACTTTTTCTAGCAGACTCTTATGGTTATAGATTTGTCGTAAGTAAGTTTTCTTTGGATGAGTGCTTTCAAAAATGGCGTTCCAATCTATTATAAAACCCCCTATTTTTCCAAAAAAGTAGGAACATAGCATGCACTGAGCAGGGAAGACCTGACTAAAGAAGACAGGCTGGAAATTGTTCTTCCTAGAGTTGTCAATTTACCATTTTTCTGATATTATGGGGCAGATCAGACAGGTGACAGCCCTTCCCTATATCACTCATGAAACCAACATGTTACATCTCTAAGAAAAAATAAATGAAGTGGTGTCTATCATCGTTGTGACACGTGCCACATTATATCTCTCGTCTTTCAAAACAGTTGTTTCCTTAATACTGTTTGGCACGGTTTGCGCTTTTATAATTTTGAATGTAAAATATTCTAAAAAGACTCATCAGTGAGGATATTGGGTTTTTTAGAAGTATGGAAATAAAGGATTTTTTATTTTTCTGTACTTCTTTGGAAGGAAATGGCCTTAATAGCACTAAAAAAAGATTTGTTTTTTATAGAGACTTCTAAGCAAATGAATAAACACACACAATGAAAGTAGTGCTTTCCAATGGAACTGAACTCAGTGCTCAGAAAAGCCTGCAATCTGAAATCTTGCTGACATTCAACTGTAAACAATTTCAAAAATAGTATTTAGGCATATAAACGTGGGCAGTCAAGTACCAAATCATATTTTCTGTTTTGCCTAGCTCCAGAGGTAAAAGTGTTTAAACGGACACTCATTTTTTTTCTAGCTGAGCTGACTGTTTCCTCACTTATCAGCACTGTTAGACTCCTGATTGCATTTGAAAACATGACTCTGGACGTCTAAATAACTTTCTGGATAAAAACATGAGCCCCTTTTAGGTTTAAGAAATACTGACCTCATTCAGCATTTTTCTGTGGATTCCCATTAAAGAGAATCCAACACTAGGAAAGCAGTGACTGTTCTCTGGGAAGCATGTCATTTGTCACATTTTTACTTCTCCTCTGTTGCCATTATGAGGAAGTAAAAGTTCTCTTTTCTGACTCCAAGAGAGAGGAACCTTTCTCCGGTTCCTGTATAGAATAGTGGAATCATAGAACTATTTATGTTGGAAAAGGCCTTTAAGAACATTGAGTTCAACCATTAACCCAGCAATGCCAGGTCCACCACTAAACCGTGTCCCTACACACCACATCTACATGTATTTTAAATAGTTCCAAGGACGGTCACTCAACCACTTCCCTGGGCAGCCTGTGCCAGTGCTTGACAACCCTTTCAGTGAAGAAATTTTTCCTAATATCCCATCTAAACCTCCCCTTGCACAGCTTGAGGCTGTTTCCTCTTGTCCTAAATATGGTACATGCACTCCTAGGGTGAATCAGTTTGTGGAAACAGGGCAAAAGTGCCTGTTTTTTTCTCACTGCACTTCTCACATTTACTTGCTTATCTAAAGGAATGTAAAAGCTATAAAGACAGTAACTGCTTTAATCTACTACCTTTGCCTATGGAAGACTATAGGAGTACATTGCACCCTTGCATACCATGCATTGATTTATTATCTGGCCACACTTTTTCTTTAGGTAATTGCTAATAACATTCTCATTTATATCAGGCTTTTTCTCATCTATTACAGCATGTAAATGTAAATGATATTCCTCATGCTGTCTGACTTTGAATTTCACTCAGTTTACATTAATGGTAATAGATTTTAAAATAACTTTTCAATATATTTCTCATTAAACATAGCAATTTAGATTTGTGTGTATATGCTGTCTTTATATTTCAGTTGTGTTCAAACTGTTTAATTCAATTTCTCCTTTTAAAGACTGAATTGGAAAATATTGAAGTGACACAAGGAATGTCAGCAGAGACAGCAGTAACTTTTCTCAGCCGTCTGATGGCAATGGTTGATGTACTAGTATTTGCCAGTTCTCTAAATTTTAGTGAGATTGAAGCTGAAAAAAACATGTCTTCTGGAGGTCTAATGCGACAGTGCCTAAGGCTTGGTAAGTTGGCAAACAGTTTATATTAAATAATTACTTACAGATCAATGAGCTACAGATGGATCAAATAGTGACACTTGGAGGAAAGGACTTGTACAGACTATGATGTGCTAAAATAAGAATACTGTTTATTGTTGATTTGGTACAGTTTTAAGACTGATTCAGTTTAGGCTCAAGGTTGAGTTAAAATGACATGTCTGAAATTGTTCTTCCTTATGTATTTCAAGTTGTATGTGTTCTGGAGGAATACAAATATTAAATGTAAGTAAGTAAACGGAGAATTTTTTTTTCTTAAAAAATGCTTTGCTGCATGCATGTTTCCTTGTCCAAGTCTTGATCGATTTGGAAGGCTATTTATAGGCTATGTAAGATTAAAAACATGTTCAGACTCTGTAGACTTTAGTATACATTGCTAGTCTGGCACCTATCCTCACTTTTTACTATTTGCTATATACTGTTACAATTAGTTTAGGAAATTTAAAAGTTTATGAATAATTCAAATAATTAGGAATAATTATGAATAATTCTATTAAATCTGTATCACTTCATTCTTGGGAACATTAAATTTTTACTGTCATATCACGTAACACTGTTTTGCTAATGTTAAATTTCCACATACTTTTTCATCTCTCAAATAATTAATAACTTTTTTCTCAGATTTTGTCCTGTTAGTATTCATACCACTTACTAAGTCATTGATAATTATACTTCTCCCGGTATAAAACCTGTGGTTTATTCTCAATGATCAGTTTTCATCAGATTGTAAATTACTGCTTACTTTTTTTTTTTTCTATTCTAGCTGTACCTAAGTACTCTCAGATTTTAAGTACTGATAGATAATTAATAACACATGAGAGCTCCGGCTCAAGCACTCAAGGACTATATTTTCATATATATAGTTATATAGATTACTTAGTTGTTCAACTAAAGAATGAAGTAAGTCACCATAATGCTTTCTTAGTACCAACGGAGAGTCTAATGTGAGAACTCTGTTGCACTTACTATTTAGAAATGGTTATTGACGTAAGACAGCTTCTGAACATAATAATGAAAAAATATTCTGATTCGTTACATTTTTGCAACTTCTTTTTAGTTTGTTGTGTGGCTGTGAGAAACTGCTTAGAATGTCGGCAAAGGCAGAGGGAGCGAGTGAACAAGACATCATTAATCAGTGGTAAAACTCAAGATGCTCTTCAGGGTGTAACTGCAGCAGCAGCAACCAAGGTAACCCAGGCCTCAGCTAACAACAGCAATGACAAGGCTGTGCTTTATAGGGTCAGAAAACAATTGTAAATGCCTTCTCAAATACTTGGCAAAAGCTTAGGGTTTTGCTATGAAATGCTTAAAAGTAGAAGTATGTGAGAGGGTTTATTAGAAAGAAGCTTTTTCACTCTTACTTGGTCTACTTCAAAGAGTGAGTCCCCGTAACTGACATCAGTCATAGACACCTGCATAGCTTTTTTGACCTGCCAGGGCACTTGCAGTTTTGATGAAATCCTGCAGTCACATCTTTGTTGGTAGAACATCTGAGTTCCGGTAATTTCAACAGACTTTTTATGTGATTTTAGGAACGAAACTTGTTTCATACTCACTTACAGCTTTTTCCAGTTACATTAATTATTGATTTTTTTGTTTTGTTTTGTTTACTATGTTTACATAGCTTTAACGCTATGGGAATACTGAAACTAAAATCTCAAGGGATTTAGCACAGCCTGTAACTTATATACAACACTTTGTATGTCATGAAGGATTCCTTCTTTTTGCTACTGTATTTTCATTACTAAATTCAGTATTTTCTCTTCTCTAAAGGCTTCTCCAGCTAGCATTCACAACCTCAGCTCTTTTCGTAATATTATTTCATTAAATCTCACAGAAACATTGCATTTCTCCATGTTGGCACATTCAGTGCAAAGCAGATCAGTGTAAGGAGACTTTTAGGTGTTTAGGCATCATTTGCAATACATTATCATTTTTAAAAGAGGCATGCTACTCTATGCTTTTATAATAACAGTTATTTTGTAAATACTCTGTAATAATTCTCAGTAAAATGAACATAAATGTTTTTTTTAAAAAATATTTCTGCTCATCATTTTGAAATGTAACACATGTATTAGAAATAATTTATTGTATTCCTCTGAAATAACCGTAATCTGAATTAAGTTTTTCTGTGCAAGTTAATATCTTGACTCTGGGAAGAGATACAGTTATTCTGATGTACTGGGAAGACGCAACAATTTAGAACTATATAGTTAGGATTAAAAGAGTAAATCAAAATATTGCTTTTAGAACCCTTGTCTGAGCATGATAGTGGAAGTATATTGATAGGAAAAGAGCATCTTAAACTGAAGCAATATGTAAAAAAAGGTGTTAAATTAAGTTTATAAGAGAAATGCTTTGATAATGGGGGAGAATGAAAAATGTCACTACTTCTTATTTTTAGACTCCTCTTGAAAATGTCCCCGGCAATCTTTCTCCTATAAAAGACCCTGACAGACTTCTTCAGGATGTTGATATTAATCGTTTGCGAGCAGTTGTTTTTCGCGATGTGGTGAGTAATTTATGCTGTAATTCTTTCTTCTGCAAAATGATCACTTACATTTTGATTGTACCAGAATTAAAAATATCCTTTGTGTGTAACACTTTGTATATTATTTGCAAACCGTCTCCTTGTGACTTTGTAACTACCAGCCCCTTTCTGCACTTTAAAGTCCTACTGGTAAGCTATTTGAGGTAGCCGTGTTTAAGTCAGACTTATAGCAGCCAAATAATCACAGCCAGAATAAATCAGTTATGACCTATGCTGCTTAAAAGTGTATTACTAAAGTGTCAGCTATTTGTACAACCAGAGGAAGAATTACTATATGTATTGCTGAACTACAGCGGATTGATTTATAAAGACAATTATTACTTCTTCTAAACATATATATGCATACACTATATAAATATATATATATAAATGTTTTCAAGTTTGTCTGCAGTTGTTTTTTAGCTTAAAACTCTTCCAGAATGTATTAGGTTTTGAAAGTAGCATAACAGGAATTATTATATATGCACAAATGGATATGTTTAAACTTCTCTGAGCTAAATTCAAGTGGATTGAATACTAAAGTTAGAAATAGCTTTAAAAAGAAGAAAGTAGAACTTGGCATACACAAAAAATTATCTGTCAGAATTACCTGATCAACTTGAAGGGGCAAGGTTGAATTAGGTGGAGATCTGTCACCTACTCTTTTCTTAACTAGAGGAGAAGGGAATAGAGGAAATATTGTTTCAGACATTTCTGTGAAAAAAATTTAACAAGATGATTTCTAATTATTAGAAGAATTGCAAAGACGTGGAACTATATTAAGTAACACCCAGAAAATGTGGAAAGTAAGCCCTGGATTTGTAATACAAAATGCATACTTGTGGAATTGAGATAAGGTAAAACCACTATAGGGGTAGATAGAGGCTGAGGTCTTAATTCTGCCATGTTGGGTTAGTAATAAAAGACATTTCAGTTGAACTACAGCCACTTAGGCTCAGTCAGGATGATATCTGAGCCATGAAACAGTAGCCTGTGTGAGGCAGGAGGAAAAGAAGACAGCCTAGTTCTTGTCCTGATGTTTATTTAAATCAGAGTCCTAGAAAACTAGGACTGCTGCTGACATGCTTTTGAAGGAGAAGTCAGAATGTACGAGCTGGGATTTATTGCTGGGAGAAAAACAATGGTCATATCTCTCCTGCTTTTAGATGCTAGCACAGGCTGTTATGCCTGCTTACATGTCCCGTGTTTGCTAGAAATGCATCAGTGAGCTTATTTTTCTCTCAGCAGTAGTGCCCTGTACCTTCTTGTGGCAAAAGCTTTGAGAGTCTCATCCTTGGGGCTACGAAAGTCAGTTGCCCATGCTGTTGAAAGCACTCAGAGCAGAGCCAAGCCTCTGTTCTGAAATGTCTTTTGAATCCATAGCCCGAGATTTGCGCAGCTGCCAAATTTCTGGTAAAATTCAGTACCTAATATATGCTGTGTGCATAGTACTCTACTGAAAATGAATTAAATCTACATAATACATTTGTTACTATGCAAACAGATGGAATATTTCAGAGAAGTGTTATTTTTTAAGACTGGAGAGGATCTTGTATGAAAATTCTATGGAAATGTCCAATATTATAGAACTGTTCCTTTCTCTCCAACACAGGATGACAGCAAACAGGCTCAGTTCTTAGCTTTGGCAGTAGTCTACTTTATTTCTGTTCTGATGGTCTCCAAATACCGTGATATACTAGAACCACAACGAGAAACTGCAAGATCTGGCAGCCAGGCAGGTAGAAATATCAGACAAGAAATAAATTCACCGACAAGTACAGGTACATTTGTTTTCTTCAAATGTTATTTGATTCGTAATTATTTTGCTGCGCAGTATTTTTAGTGAGTAGCTTAAGATCCTAATAAGAAATAACTTGCTACTTTCTTCCTCTATAACATACATTGGCAGATTTTAATTATTCTGTATATTTGCTTAAAGGGTATAAGTAATTTTCATTTGCATATTACTTTTTTATGCCTTTTTCCTTTGTTTTGAAAATAGTTAAAAAGAAACAGGGAGCCTGGTGGCGTTAAAGCTGTGCAGTACAAGACAGTTGATCAGCACAGCTGCCTGAATCTGTTGTTTGTTAGGAAAACCAGATATCTGTATACCATTAAATGCCTAAACAGCAAACACAGCTATTTGCCCATGTGAACTCCTGTTTGCCTGAGGAGGTTGGTGAAGGGGTACTGGTGGAGGACTGACTGCTTCCTTGGAGTCTTGCTGTGTTGGTGCCTGCATTTAAAAAGCCTGTGGAAACAATACAATAAAAAGGAAACATTATTATTGCCTCTTTGAACTGTTTGTGATTTTTATTAATAGTCCAGTGTGTGTTGTTTAGCCTGAGAGGGAGGGAGTTCTTTAACTGTCAGAACCCGTCAGAAATTAGGGATCCCAGCTTTACCCCACTTAGTTTCAAATATTTTACACTGTCAGTTCGGTAGCTTTTTTCACGGCTGATGGGAATGATTATAACTGTACCTTCTATGTTAAAAGAGCTGAAAACAGTAACTGAATTTGTCCATGGAGCTATTTCTTTATGTTTTTCTTCTTGAATTGATTTTTAATTACTTTTTTAATTTATCTTTCATAGGATTTATCTTCCAATTTGTGTCAAATTTACATTTAGTCTTTATTTTCTGGTTCATCGTGATGTTTTAATTTAGTATGTATGCATATTTTTTAAAGTCCATGTGCTTGTAGGTTTCCCATTTTAAATATACTACATGAACATAGTCAGTTACGTGAAATCATATTCTTTTATGCCTTCCTGTTTATATGTTATGGTTCCGCACTATGAAACTGCTAATTTTAGTGAACTATTTCATCCATGATTGTCTTGCCTCTGTGTGTGTGTATATATCTATCTATCTGTGTCTCTTTTTCCTCATGAATGTTGCTCTTGAAGTGCCCAAATAACAAGTGTGCTGTTTCCTATCTCCTGATACAGAACTTGTTTCCTTCCTTTAGAAATGCTTTTTTAATTTTTTTTTTTGTTGAAAATACCATATTTGCATGTTTCAATGAGATAGGATATCTGTCATGGATCCACAGTGGACCAGGCCACACGTGAATGCTAGCTGGCTCACATTTGATTCCATGATTTTCTCCACAGTTGTGGTCATACCATCTATCCCTCACCCAAGTTTGAACCATGGATTCCTTGCCAAGTTAATTCCTGAGCAGAGCTTTGCCCACTCATTTTACAAAGGTAATATTAACATCATCTCCTAACCTGTTTGGGTGTTCTTATTTAATGTAATGTAATTCAAGAACTAACTGTGATGTAATTGTTGATAAATAAGTATACGCCTCAGGTTACATGGAGATCAGACCTGATGAATCCTTCAAAACGTTAACTTCCTGCCTACATTGCTCTAGGAAATCTCTTTCCCACTTTTACTGCCATTTATTAACTTTACTTACTGCGAAATAAAATAATTTTTAAAAGCAGTCAGGAGGAGGGAATGGATGTAGAAAAATTTACATGCTTTTGGTTTGTGGTTATTCTGCTACAATATTAGGTCCATAAAAAAATAAAATTAGGCCTCTTAAAAATATTGCATACCACATAAAGTCTGTAGTACTTCTGTAGTATTTCCTTTCCCCATATCTTTTCCTGTTCTTTTGCCTTCCTTTCTTGCTTTTTTTCTTGCCTTCTTGATGGTATGTAAACCTCTGATATTGTATGTATTGTGAATTATTTTATGCCTGTTAGTTAATGTGCTGTGCTGTGCTTTTCTCGAAGGAAACTGCTTTTGTGACCAGAGCAACTATTACATGTTTTGGGCCTGATTTGTTTTGTTTGTTTGTTTGTTTTAAAAGATACTGTATAATGTAGGGAGTATGTTTCTCAGGTGTCGTTATTTGGAAAAGAGAGGGTTACCTGAATGTAACTGTAGCCAAGTTTGCATGTACATTTCGCCATTTATTTGCATGCACTGTGCTGCAAATATAGAAATGTAAAATGAATAAAAAAAATTAATCTGGTGAAAATGGTCTTGGTATAATTTTGAAAAATCTCAGTGGGTGAAAACCATAAGAGATTCAAACTTGATTATACAGAACAGAAAGAGTTAGTTTTCTACTTATATTCTGGGAACACTATGTTAAAATACACAGTACATCTATTTAAACTATCACTATGTTAATCTCACATTTCTTAAACTTTAGTGTGTGCATTTATGTGTATTATAAATTGTATTAAATTCTAACAATTAGTAATCAGAGGTTAGTGATTTTGATTAATAATACTACAGTCTGCTGTACAAAGAAAAACATATTTTGAATCATTCAATTTGCTGATGTAATATTCTTCATTGTGACATAGTTGCATATGTTTGATTTAATCCATCATTCATAAAAATGGGAATCGTTTGCTGTTATCTGAGTACTACAGTGCTATGCGTTATTGCAGAATAAAGCCTTAGAGCTTCATGAAATATTCTTTTTTCATATCTTTTCTTTTTTCTTTTTTACATTTAAAGCATGTTTCTGTGTATCAGACATAGTATATTTTATTTTTACCACCTTTACTTGAAAGTTTTGAGTGGTTAGACTGCCTCAAAACACAATTATTTAAAGACATCTTAATTTTTATTAAATTTAATACCATAAAAATAAATCATGCAACTTAAATTTGATATAACGGGTGGCAAAAGGTGCAGAAAAACAAGTAGTTTTTCTTACTGTTCACGTATAGGACAGGAATAATTTATATGTAACAAAACCAGAAAAAAAAAAGAAAATAAATGGAGGCAGCCATACAAACTAACTAGAATATTTCATATAAAATATTTTTTTTAAGAATTGTGTCTTGTCTAATACTTATATTTTACTTGAACTCAAGGTAAAACAATTTTATTTTCAAAATAGTTTAAGAGAGCTATAACAGAATTGCAGAAGTTGCTTGGCCTACAGACATTTTGATTTATTAGATTTCTTCAACTGACTGTGATGAAGTTCTCCGATATAATTAAAATGCAGAGGTGTAGTAACGATGGGAGGAGCATTAAAAATTTCTCTGCCAGAAGAGTTGAATTGTTTTCATCTGACTTGTCAAGATGATGCGTTATCATTCTCACTGTCTCTGCGACTGTGGATATTGCAGTGTGACCAAAAGCTCTGTACCAGATTTTCAGTTTTTATCTCAAAATAGTCATGTCACATGTGAGTTGTACACTCTGGAAGATATCTATAGTGAATCCATGTCTTAGCTAGTCCTTCAAGTCTTCCTTTGTTATATGTAGGTGGAGAAAAGTTAGGGCACATTTAAAGTACAGTTCACCTGGCCTGATTTAGACATCTACTTAAAAGAGAGATAAAATTGTTACTAGAAGTCCCTATCTTTGCCCATTCACTAGAGATGTGATACAGATTTGTGCCTTAGTCAGATTAATCCTGACTCTTTTGACTAGGCTTAACTGAACTCCAGACACAGAACTTGCCTTATGACAAAACCTGGAATGAAATTCTTTGATCTCATGCACTTAATCCAGTCTAATGATATTATGTGCCTTAGCAATATCCCCATCTCACAGACAGCTACAATTCATTACATATATGTTCATAGACACACATTTTTCTTTATGAGTGCAGCTTGTATTGTATTGTATGTAGTTTGAAAGTAGGAACTATATATCCATTTAAACAATTACATAACGTCTTCAACCCAATGACTAGCAGGCACATTCACTTTGTGCCTGGCATCTAATAAATCTGAGCAATGTGTATCATTGTCCCTCCAAGAGCCCTTATTTCTTCTCTACCTGTCCAACAGTATGGGGTGCAACTTATCTGCATCTTTCTCCATTGTAAAGGGTTTTTGAATACTGATTTGTTTTGTTGTATGATTGAGAGATTTTCAGTTTTGTTCTTTTTTGTTGTATAATTCTTCCAGTTTCCCGTTTTTGCCTGCTGACTGCTTGAGATCCTCGAAGGAGACTATTCCTTGCAGTCTGATGTACTAGCAAGTCCCTTTATAAAAAATCTTTGGCTTTCATCTTAAGCAGCATCTTCCACAAAGATCATATATGAGAAATCCTGACTGTGTTGTATTTAGTGGGGAAGCAGTGCTAAAGCTTAATCTTTGCTTCTGGTGATGGGGGTTGATTTTGAGTACTTTTAATAGCTTCCTGTCTATGAAGATAGTCCCAGTAAGCAAAACTACTTCCTATGGGAGGCAGACAAGCTTCTCCTGTTTTACTTTGCAAGCAAATACACTAAATTACTCTTAATGTTATAGAAGATTCAGGTTTTCATAGGAGGGTTATCAAGACTCTTGCAAGAGTTTTGATTTAATGGCACATTCTGCAAATCCATCTGAACAGTGGAACTTGCGAGTTCCCACAGCCACTTTAGGTTACAGGTGTGTTAGTCAAGACGTAATTAGTGTTTTTTACTTATAGTCAGCAAGAACTGCCCTTGTGAATGGATCATAAAATGCTGAAATTTGTATTTCTGGAATGGCAGTAATTGGAACAGCTTAGGAAAAAAAATAATGTTGTGTTCTCGGTTGTTTTATCTGATTAAAATAAGAGTATTTTCTCTAAATCGGTAGGAGAATATCTCTGTTATGTCTGGAAGGTGTGGAAGTTGAAACTGAGAAATTGAGAGTAGCCCTTTCTCTTACCAGATAGAGGCTAATCAGTACATATTGTGAGAGCAGAAATATCTTGTCACAGGACGAAGATGCGGGAGAAATAGAGGAGCATGTTATCTTCTGTTAATAGCAGCTAATCAGCCTTATCATGTAAAGCAAAGTAGCCTTTTCAAATTACA